CAACATATTCTGTTACACCAAATACACAAAATAATGATCTTTAAAATAGCATCATATGACCCCTTTAAATTTGGAATTTATACAGATGCGATATGTTATATGAATGTTCTGAAACACATCAAAGGGTCTCCTTAAAAATAACACCAAAAACACTTGCTCTCGCAGATGTGAATACAGAACATCCTGTTGAGTAAGCACTGAAGAGATTAAGAAATCCTGTTATTAAAGTGCTAAACCACAGAAAAGGGAATGGAAAGAGCTTGAGTTTCCTATTATTTCTTAATGTCTGGGTGCCGTTATTTGTTCGGCCTTGGATGGCGTCCAGCACCAAAGCCCATGGGGATGAAAAGCACCTCTGACATCAGACTCCGGTAAAGCAAGAGATGGGGCGTCCCAACACATCACACAGAGAAAGGACCATGTCACCACCTGATGTTCTTTCCATGTTCTTGTAACGTCTGCCTGTGGCCTTCTACTAAATTTGCCTTGGAAAGCCGATCTGTGTAGAGGTTGCTTTCCCAGAGTTCCTTTTGGGGGAGGGGTGAATGGGTGGGCAGCCTTTAAGGTGTTGCTTTGCTCTTGTTCTCTCTTTTGGTTTTGACTGGCAAGTCCTGGTGACTTTTGAAGTCGCCTTAGTAATTTGCATGTCAGATTCTGGTTAGGAAGAGGGGTGATGGAGGGAAACCGGAGTTCAAAACAAACTGCATCAGATCTCTCACGTTACTGCTTTGATGCATGAACAACTGGGGTCGTTAAAGCCAAAGGGAGGTCGATGGGCGTCAGTGTTGTTTTGTCTTCGTATGCGTACTTAGATCTTTTCTCACTTCCCTTATCTCACATCTAAATCTATTCTTAGATCCAACTTCCCGACCGTTGAGTCAAAAACGACCGGTATCAAATGCCTGCACGCGTGCATATGGCACGTTGTGGTTTCCGTTGTGCGCGTTTTGCTTCTGAGTTATAGTTTTGTTTATCTCAAATGGGTTCCATGCCAGGCGAAGATGGAAACACGCTGTCTAGAGAACAAAAAGAGAGCGAGGCATCAATCTCAGGCTGTTGCTTTACATCTAACGCTCTGGCAAGTCTCAGATTGGGAGCACATGGCATTGTGGCAAAGCACCACCTCCATTGCCTGAACCCAGTAATGCCTTGGAGACGAAAGAAACCAGACTAAGATTGACGTGGCTCATTAAATTGATCTATTTAAACTTTCCATACTTGTGTTCCAGAATCATTCGTTTCGCTGAATTCTGTTACATCAGGGAATATTTGTCAGACTTCTGTGTTCTACCGCATTTCTAGGTGTTTCCACGGGTGCCGTCTCTCCTCCGGTTGCCCTGGAGATGGGGGTGGGTCTTTTGTGCCAGCTGTTCCAGATGTGGGGCCAGTTGGCTGCTGGAATGGTGAACCTGATACAGTGGCTCCTGGGAGATGAACAATCGGATACAAGGTGTGAAGAGTCACTGGACTTGGTAAGGAACAATTTTGCTTTTTTCTTGTGTAACTTGTTTTTAATGCATCACTGATTTTGCTCATGTTTGGGAGCTTTTTTAAACTTTGGCACTAAATTCGTTCAGCCACAAATGACATCAGAATCATGACACAAAAATTTGGCAACTTATTGTGGAGAGGTGTGCTCTTACTTTTCAAAACTGTGAAATGTTTAAGCTTCAGATAGCGGGTGATGAAATTGTGTGGAAAACCCCATAGACTTACATTGATGGACCTATATTTTTTAGCCACCTTGATTCTGGAAATATTTTCCCCATTCATTTTTCCCATAGGAATTTAAAAAAAGTCTTTGTTGACTAGTTGTAAGCTATAAACCAAACAGTTACAAGGTGAATCACAACATTACAAACTTTGATTTGAAGCTAAAAATGTATTTAAAAATTGGATTCTTAACAGCTTCAATGAGGAAAGGACTACAATCCCGTAAAGCCCTGAGAATGACATAATAAAAACAATATATTTTGTTTATTGCAAACTATGCTTTAATATACAAATATTGAAGTAGTTTGAGAGCATATGGAGACTGACTCAAGTATGTCATAATGGGTGCTAAAGTATTCTTTTGTGAATTGCTTGATGTGGTGGAGATTTTTCTGCAGAATCATGGGTAATGTCTTTATCTTAAAAATAAGTTGAAATAAGGGACTGACGGCTTCAACTAAAGCATATACCATTGATTTACAACCTCACTGCTCAGTGATTCTGTCTTTAAAGGTGTATAAGTTACAGTTTAAAATCTATAAATTGGATTTTTAGTTCCAGAACCTAACTGTTGCACTTTATATGACCTGTCTATTAAAATAGGCTACTACGCATTCACTTATTAACACCCTAGAAATCCCCCAGAACGCCCTACTGCATATCAAAGAACTAAAAATCACTCAAAACACTTTAGAAACTGCATAGCAATTCCCTGGAAGCACCCATTGTCTCCATTGTCAATGCCCTAATCACTTTGTCTTCAGAAAATCTAGTTTAAATATGTAGGTTCTTCTTATTCTCCTCCTTTTCCAGGATGAGGAGTTCCTCTTTGAGAAGGGAGATCTTAACCTGTGGGCAGAGCCTTTGTTATGGGCACGGATGTTGCACAGACACCTCTCTGCCCTGGTAAGTGTGACACATTCACCTGATGTAAGCGCCGCAGAACTGGACCGACTATCAGCCATCGCAAAGAGCAATGCCCTGGCGGCTCAGCGTTCGATGAAAGCCCTCCCTGCACTGCCCCAGTTTTCAGCCACCATCGAGTATGCCAAGATATCGCTGCGGAAAGAGAGAGCGTCACTCGCTCTGAATCTTCTAGATACACTTAGATCTTCTTAGATGACTGTGAAAGATAGAGAAAGTGAAAGGTGTCATGCATTACAAACCTATTTTAATCTCACAGTGGTTTTCCTGTTTAAGAGCTGAATTGCATGCAGGCATGACCACATACTTTTTTAATTCAAATAAAGTTTATTACATTCATTTAACTGTGGGATTACTTTTGTACAGTAATGTGTGTTTGAAATACTGAGAATGTGAGAGGTTTTATTCCCCTCAGCTGTGTTTTCAATATCACACCTTGTGGTATTTGAGCAAGCGGTTGTATTTTTTTATGCATAGCTTAACTGCTTTTAGTTAAGGACATTTTTTGGTTGCTCCTCCTGTGTATGTTATGCAATCTGAGCAAAACAGTCTGGTGTCCGTTTGCTAAGTAGACAGCTGGGCTGCCTTCAGGGGCTGTAGTAGCAATGTTCCCCTTTTACTGTAAAATGATGTAATGTTTTGGAATGTCAGCAGCCTATTCCTCACACACACACACACACACACACAGGGTGGGTAAAATAATACATACCGTTCTCCTCACAGGATCTTTTTTTTTTTTTTTTCATTTGTGTAAATGTGCTTTACTGAAACCATAAAAAAGGGAATTGTAATACAAGAGTACTGCTGAGATATGCAATGGGAACTGAAGGAGAAAAAAAGGGAATGTGAAGTGAAATATATTTTCGGCCTGTCATATTTTTTTGCCTGTAGGTGGCGCTCAAGCTCTTTTTTCGACGAGAGGCATTGAGACCGTTAGAGGGCAGTATTGTATCGTTTTTGTTAGAGTTTAGAGTTTGAGTTTCTTGAAGGATTAGATTTTTACTTTGTTGCAGCTTGTTGAAACTTTTAGGTTTCATATGTCTATATTTTTTTAAATAAATGATACAATGCAAAAAAAAAAATATATAGTTTTTTTTTTTTATTAAAAAAAAATGCAATTCTAGGCTAAACTGCACTTTATTTATACAGGGAAAGATAAGCAGAGGAAAACGTAACATGCAGATAAGTGTCATAGTTTCTCACTCTGTGTATTAGATCTGGCACAACTTCAAAGTTTGGCCTCTCGCTCTCGATTATGCAATCGCACTCGACCACTAAACATTTCCTGATATCAGAGCGACCAGCCTCGAGCCCGTGCATGCCAAGTGTCGTCAACACCGTGCGTGTGTCTGCATGATACAAGTTGTTTTAGAAATATATGTTGGTTGCACTGAGTTCATCTTGTAAGTTGTTCGGTGTTGGAGAGGTGCTGTGAGTGAGTGAGTGAGTGTGTGTGCGCCGCAGGAGGGGTGCAGAAAGCGACCAATCAGATCCACAGTCCCGGCGACACTTGAAAAGCAGGGCGTAACTTTTGTGGCAACTTTCGCAGTAAGATCCTCCTCCTCCTCCTCTTTACGCGCTGTCCTCAAGCTTATATGTGCGGGAGAGTAAAGCAGACTCTTTACTGTTCTGTCTCGGCTCTGCGCGGTGGGAGAAGACTAACAACACAAGCAAGCAACGAGAAACTCAGCCTTCCTTCTCTGAGTTTCAGAGCACGTCTGAGACGTAGCCTTTTCTGTTCCGTATCTTTTGCACAAAGTCTAAGCCAGTGGCAAACTAAACGCCTTCGCATCCAAAGGCTCCAGGTCGGTCCTCAAATGAGAGATCATCTGCGACTGTCTTCTTCTGAAGAAACAGAAATGTCTGCGACCATCCTGTCCGCTTTCTACGACATCGACATGCTGTACAAGGTACTTTGCTGATTTAACAAACAAGCTTGCTTCTTATCTTTGCTGGGACTTTACAAAGTTAGTGCATGGCCGAAACGAGTGCATACATAGTTTTGCAACTACATTGCATTGATTGTAACTTTGTTTCTCCTCTCTGCACAGCAGGAGAAGAGCCTCAACATTAACGCCATTCACATTAACAGCATGCTGGATAAGAAAGCAGTCGGGGCCCCGGTAACAACCTCCAGCAGCAGCAGCAGCAGCAACAGCTGCAACTCGTACGCGTCAGGATTCTTCCGTCGAAACTCCACCAGCAACATGGAGTCCATGACAAACGGCAACAAGTACCCCGCCAGCTCCTACAGCAGCAGCATGAAGGAGAACGCCATCATGAACAAGGAGAACAAGTTCCGCGACCGCGCCTACAGCGAGAGCGCCCAGCAGCTGCAGCAGAAGCCGGGCTCGCAGATCAACTCCACCCGCTACAAGACGGAGCTCTGCAGGCCTTTCGAGGAAAACGGCGCTTGCAAGTACGGCGAGAAGTGCCAGTTTGCGCACGGCTACCACGAGCTGAGAAGCCTGTCTCGCCACCCCAAGTACAAAACCGAGCCCTGTCGTACTTTCCACACCATCGGCTTCTGCCCGTACGGTCCACGGTGCCACTTCATCCACAACGCCGACGAGCGCAGACCGGCGCCGAGCAACGCCAACAGCGTGCAGGGAGAGTCCGCCAAGCCCGCTCGGTGCGAGCCGGTGAGCGGCTACGGACAGCAGCAGCAGCACCGACCGAAACTCCACCACAGCCTCAGCTTCTCGGGTTTCTCCAGCCACCATCACCACCACGGACTCGACTCGCCCCTTCTCGAGAGCCCCACGTCGCGCACGCCGCCTCCCTCCAGCGGCTCCTCCTGCGCCGCGAGCTTCTACGAAGACGCTCGCTGCCTCGGAAACAGTGCTTTCTCTTTCACCGGCCAAGACCTCAAAGCCCTGCTCGCGCCGCTGGCCGTGCACACGCACAACGGTTATTACGCAAACCTTCAGGTCAACATGGGCGACGGCCTCGGCCACTTGCAGTCCCTCCAGCGCCTGTCAGAGTCGCCGGTGTTCGACTCGCCCCCCAGCCCGCCTGACAGCATCTCTGACCGGGAGAGCTACGCCAGCGGCTCGCTCAGCTCCTCCGGAAGTCTCAGCGGCTCTGAGTCTCCCAGTCTGGACGGCGGGAGGCGTTTGCCAATCTTCAGCAGGCTGTCGATTTCCGATGATTAATCTGCTTTTTTTGTTGTTGTTGTTGTGGACTCGATAGCGGAGGACTCTCTCGTTAGATAGGTAGTTGAGCAATAGACTTTTTAATATCGAGGGAGATGGATTTGTTTTTGTCAGACGCTCGACATGGCATTAGTCTGTTTGAACTGCTTTGAAGGCATTCCACCGGTGCAGTTTGTTGCATTCTCTTGGTCTTTTTGGACCACCTACTTTCCAGATTTTTGTACAAAAGACTTGTGAACGTGAAAGACAGAGCGGTTTCAGATTTTCCTTCATCCTTGCCAAGAATATGCCTTGACGAAAAGTATACTAGTTTTCAAAGTATGTACATTCATTCCCAAAGTTTATCCAGTTTCGCGGCGCCACCCAGTGGTTTGGTTGGTTTGTGCAGTTTGAAGCTCTCGTTTGGCTTGTTGGGAAATCATTGCTGATGGTTGAATATATATTTTCTTTTTTTTTCTTCTTCTTTTTTTTAGCTGATACGAGTGATTACATAGCAGTGCATAACTGGCTATGAACTATTTAACTTATTTATTTTATCTTGTGAAAAGTATAGGCTACATTGTTAATTGTGTCCATACTGTATTTATCGAGTATGATGAAGCAATAGATCTATATTCTTTTATGTTTAAATTATGATCGCCATTATTAATCTACATAAAGTGGAGTGTATGTTCTTTTCACAGTAATATATTTTTGTTTGGTCTCTTTGTAACTTCACTTTATTTTATTGTAAATGAGTAAAAAAAAAAAAATCTTAATTTAAGAGATTGTATGTGATATTTATTTCATTAATTTTGTTTCCTTGTTTACGTTTATTAAAAACAGTTTGTGTGATTTGCTGTTTGTTGGGATCTTACTTTTCAGAAGGGTTTTTTGTTCATTTTTTTGTCATTAGGTTTGTCAGTAGAATGTATAAACTGTGG